CATGGCTTTAGTGTGAATATGCCCCGGTACAGGACAGGCATGTAAGACATTCGTGGCCCCCTTGGGGGGGGGGTCCCTGGGGGGGGGTCCCTGGATGGTGCCGCAATGATTCTGTCATTGGATGACCTGTGCAATATTCCCAGCAAGGCCGGTCATTATAGAAATTGATTTTCCGATATGTGCGAGCACTTAATGTGGCGATAAGGGATCGATCGATCCCTACTGCTGAGCTAAGCTGCAGATGTTCAGCCAAAAGTAGAGGGGGGAGGGGCTTTCAGGAGGTGGGGGCCGTCCTCATGGCAATGGTACTGTCTGTGGAAAGAAATGACCAGAATCCTCATTCTTCAGCTCCTGCAATTGGCTTATTCTTTTCCTTGCAACCACGGCAATGGTACTGTCAGCAGGACGAAATGACCACAGTCCTCATTCCTCAGCTCCTGTAATTGGCTTATTGCCTCTGCCAAAATTATGCGCAGCCCTGGAAATCACCTTCCTGCTGACACAAAGGGGCATGGGCCCTGTACATGAGTACTGCCTGCACCCCCCTATCAGTGGCCCTGTCTCCATCAGAAGCCCATGTGACAGGCTGACAACATAGGAGCGCAACTGGGAGACAGGTTTAGAGCGTTGTCACCCTTTAATAGGAAATGCCTGAACAAGGACCTCCATTGCCCTTCTGGGCGCCATGGATGCGCTTGTGAATGATGATCACCTGTGCCGGTGGTTGGAAAGGGTTAACGGCCAGGCCGCCACGCCGCAGAGCGGTAATGCAAATCGGTTTTGCATGGAGAAGTTTTGACTTGCAAACCTGTAAGGCAGCTGGAGCAGCAAATGAGTAAAATCAATCTGAGGGCCCATCCAGGTCTATGGGCTTCAGGTAGAAGAGTTCCACCTGGCGTAGAGCCGTGTGGGTGCCATTCACACTTGTGCCTCCGGAGGGCGCTGACGAGTACAGTGCATACCCTCTAGGGGAGCGAGCGCTGTGCTGATGGCATCCGCCTGGCTGTACGCTGGGCGGAACTTTCATACATGAAGCCCTATGAGTTGCCGCCACCCACAGCAACAACTGTGCCACGGTGAGGTGTGGTGGGGTGCCAATGCACCGCCCGTGGGACCCCATTATAGTGCGGGGTAAGGGCCACTCACATGTGTAAAATAGGCCGTGTCCATTTTTTTGGCACGTTAGGGTGCACTGGCCGTCCATCCCTTCAACGGACTTCCTTAAGCACATTGACGCAAAATGAGCCCTTCCGCATAGCGTGCGTTGCGGTGCGCTGCTTCTGAAACAATGGCGCAGGTCTGATTTTGACTACATTGTGACGCAGCTGACCGGTCTAAACGCAACAGAGAGGAGCAGATTGACGCATTTTAGAACGGGCCCCTCCGCATCACGCTAAGGAACCAATCAGCTTTCGCCTTCCATATTGCAGCAGACGCTTGTCGTGAATCTTGTCGTTCTTTCACTGGATGGTTCAAGAGCCAAAACTCAACATGCGAGGCTGGGTTCACACTTGGGCGTTCGTAATATGCGTGTTTGACGCACGTTTCTATCGCGATTTGCGGTCAAGGAAACGCACGACGAACGCGCGTTTACGAGGGCAATCCAGCTGTATCCTAATGGATACGCGTGGAAAATACGCCCCAAAGAAGCCCCTGTAGTTCTTTGGGTGTAGGGCGTTTTTCAGCGCGTTCCTACTCGCTGAAATACGCCCAGGTGGGAACCGCGCCCATAGGAAATAATGGGATTTCACTTGCTGGGCGTTTTACAGCTCGTCGATCAGCGCTGTAAAACGCCCAGGTGTGAACCAGGGCTGTAGATCCTCCAATCATGTCTGACACTGTCCTTCCTTCTGGAGGGGGGCTACGTCTGTTCCCCATGGTCCCTGTGTGTATTCTAAGGTAGTCACCGCTCCAAGCTCGCTCCCGGGATGGACTACAATCTCAATACAAATCAGTAAACTAAACATGAGATTGTAGTCCATCCCGGTGGGCGGAGCTTGGAGCGGTGACTACTTTATTAACACACACAGGGACCATGGGGAACACAAGTAGCCCCCCTCCAGAAGGAAGGACAGTGTCAGAGATGATTGGAGGACCTACAGCCGAGTGACACACAAATAAGAGACATTGGGGTCAGAGTTCAGGGACTCGGAGGGATTTATCTCCTCAGTTTTGTGTCACTTTATTGCTGAGGAGATTCCGGTCGTTTCTTTTCACCAAATTGTTACAATTGAATATTTTGTGTTCAATAAGTTTTTTTTTCTGATTGTAACAATTTGTTCTTTTTATGTTATGTGTAATTTCCTCTTTTATATAAATATCAGAAATATATTGTCACCGGAGGAGAGGATCCTGATACTGACGTGTGACGTCTCCATTCTCTCACTCCGTGTACTCTGATCTGTACATTGGAGAGTGCGGCGGCCATTTCTCATGTTACATACGTGTCTCTACAGCCGAGTGACACACAAATAAGAGACATTGGGGTCAGAGTTCAGGGACTTGAAGGGCCTTTTATGATTTACCTCCGAAGTTTAGTGTCACTTTATGAAGATATTTGAATGGGGAGCAGCGCGCCGCTGCGTTCGCCGTGTGCAGAGATCTCGCCGTGGAGCGAATTCCATGTTATACAATGTTTCGCCATCACAAAATGTTTCCTGGGAGGGGATTTGTTTAAAGGTTCACTTCCAGAACGTACAATAAATGAACGACGATTGTCTGTCTGTGACACTTTCATGGTAAGGAAAGAGGCAGAAACCCAAATGCCATCATATCGCGTGTTCACAGCGTCCCGAAATCTGATTGGCCGCATTTCTTCTATGAGAAATATATATTTATAAATCTACATCTATCCAAAGGAGATACAGAGACAAAGACATTGTCAACGTTTCTCAGCGCATCTTTATTCTCTCTCTCTCTTTTGCTTCTGTGTTTGTTTATATTTAAAGCTGAACTCCGAGATCAGCAAACATTGTCCTTGTCATTCTTCTCGGGGAGCTTTGTGTATTCCTTCCAGATCTGTGCAGTAACCCAGTGTGAGGAGCTTCCTGTAATAAAGACCGCTCACTGCTGCTCTCTCTCCTTGTACAGGGTGACTGGTCTTGTCTCCGCCCCCTCCTGTAATAAAGACCGCTCACTGCTGCTCTCTCTCCTTGTACAGGGTGACTGGTTGTGTCCGCCCCCTCCTGTAGTTTCCTGAAGTGGGTGGTGCCTGCTTGGCCCTCCCGCAGCTCAGCTGTCTGCACAGGCTATGTACAGCACAGTGATGATGTCGCTGCTACTTTCACAAGATGATATCTGGCTTTGTAAAGGCGTTTGGTGCACACATGATACATTTATATAACTGTGGCTATTGAGGAATAGATTTCAATGGAAGTTTTTGTGGTTTACAGTATATCTAAATTCAGTTATTTTTTCTAGTTCTGGATGGAAGTGTGGAAGGGGTCAGGGGTCATCATTTATCAAAGCCTGTGCCTCCATTAGGGCTCAGTGAGTACTCTCCTTGTCGCACTCCTTACCGATATGTCCCTTGTAGTGGGGGGTGCTCGCAGTGACCGCGGATGGCGCCGCGAATATCAGCAAAATTGTAGAAATGTCACCAGCACACCAGTCCTTTTAAGATAGCAAAAGCTTCATTTATTGAAGTTTTTTGTCATATGACCAAACACGCGCTTTCGGGACCACGCAGGGTCCCTTCATGAGGCTTTAGCTTTGGGCTCCCATTAGGGCTCAGGCACACCATTTCAGAGTGTTACAACATGCACCATTTCATAGAGCGTTGCTGCATGCTGCACTGCGATGCACGTCCATTTGCAAGGTGCATTGGGTGCCATTCAGAATAAGGGGGGGGGGGTCAATGTCTGATTGCTGGGAGCTCTTTTCAGGGACTAGCTGTGTCCTAAACACTGCAGCTCCTGGCAGTAGCAGCAAAGGTTCCCTGAGCAAGAACCAATACCCCCCCCTTCCCCCCTTCTCCCTGATCTGTGTGACAACGGCTCCCAATACCTGCCGGACCCATATAGAGTCCAAATGGGCCACCTTGGGGCTATTGTGTAGCCACGCAGTCTGCACAAATAGCACATCTGTCCCTGGCCCCTGGACAAGGTCATCTGCTTCCTCTATGAACATGCTCGGCGAACCCTGTGCATGTTCATACCCCGATGATTCTATAGAAAGATCTATGGCGGTCCCCTCCTCCCATCGCCATCTCACGGCTGCGGCCGGCCCAGGTTAGAAGGAACGCTCTCAGCAAAATTTTGACATTGCTGCAGATTCACAAACCGCGGCCTAAGATGGTTTCCCAGCAGATCGCTGGAGGGGAAGTGTAATTAATGGCATCCCTGTCTGGGGTGAGAAGCCCAGAGTGACGGAGTACATACAGCAATCCGGGCCTGGCATATCAATCATGCGCTGAGAGCATATGGGGGGGGGGGGGGGGGGCATACAACTTTTTTGGATATGTTGATGGAGTACAGGCGCCCCCTAGTGGTGTCTTCAGAAGGATATGTTCATGGAGTACAACTGCCCCCTGGTGGTGTCTTCAGGTGGATATGTTGATGGAGTACAGGCGCCCCCTGGTGTCTGCAGGTGGATATGTTAATAGAGTACAGGCGCCCCCTAGTGGTGTCTTCAGGTGGATATGTTCATGAAGTATAGATGCTCCCTGGTGTCTTCAGATCCATATGCTTATGGAGTATAGGCTCCCGCTAGGGAAGGGGTAGGCAACTTTGGCCCTCCAGCTGTAGTGGATCTACAAGTCCCCTGAGGTATTGCAAGACTGACAGTTACAAGCATGCCATAGTGTCTTTCAGTGGCTATGTTGATGGAGTACCGGCGCCCCCTAGTGGTGTCTTCAGGAGGATATGTTGATGGAGTATGGGCGCCCCCTAGTGGTGTCTTCAGGAAGATATGTTGATGGAGTACAGGCGCCCCCTAGTGGTGTCTTCAGGAGGATATGTTGATGGAGTACAGACGCCCCCTAGTGGTGTCTTCAGGAGGATATGTTCACCGCCGTTCACACCTTCGCCTTCTGTGAGCGCATTCCAAAAGCATCGGTGTGTGTTCACATGTAAAAAAACAAAACACTTGATTTCATTTGTAAATATTTTTTTGTAACATAATCCTCATTTTAGAGGACAAATTGCAGAATAAAAGGGTCACATGAGGTACAAATGCATTGGGTTACCATGATGTTAATGAAGACCATGCTCTGGTGACCATGCTGAACAAGACCAAACCTCAGTGGTTGAGCCATGACTACTGGGCCACGCCTGCTTTAGATAAGCCACGCCCATGTGTTGCCGCTGCGCGCATATATCTCTGAAAGTGATCCCTCTGCCCCCTGTGTATTCTGTCTTCTCTCTCCCTCTGTCCCCCGTGTATTCAGTCTTCTCTCCCTCTGTCACTGTCCCTATGAATAATAAGTCTTCTCACCTTCTTCTCTACCCTTCCAGGCACTCACAGTCCCGGCCTCCACCTCCCCCACCCCTGAGCTGAGCCTCCCCCTTCCCGGCATTATATTTCTATCCGTCTCGTTATATCTCATTGTACTTCTCCTCCTCCTCCTCATCCACCAGTGCTTGCAGGTAAGTGGTGCTTTCAGTCCTCAGTCCGCCTTCTTTAGTGCTGGTCTATGGCTGTGTACACTCCTGATTGTGTATGTCATCACATGACTCCGTGGCAGGCTGGTACACGTGTTCAGGTGTTGCTGCGCCGCCGCCCCGGTCACCTGTACTTGGCAAGCTGCGCTGGGGGAAGCTATTAGTATTGACATTTTGATAAATAGTATTAATAGATTGTTGATTTTATCAATAATAATGAATGCTAAAAACTATAAAGTGCATGAGAATATTAATAATACAACATTTAAAAAAAAAGACCAAGAGCTGAGGATTTATAATGTTCGTGCTAGAATTACAGGCCAGGAACCTTCCCAGGGACTATCACTGTCTGTCCCGCACAGCTTTTCCCTCCTCAGCCCCCCTGCATACACTATTTGTATTGTTAATCGCAGCGCTGAGGAAGATTGTCCCCTCCGGGCCACCGTCTCTATGGTTCTTGGACCTGGGCCGGGGTTACCATGGTGACGGGGGACGCTGCCGCAATCTCGCGAGATGTGATCTGCTGGTTGCTGGGCTTTGTTTGGGGTGTGCTGTATGGTGAGTGTTGGGCGGAGGGTCCGGGAGGGGGGTCATTGCTGATGTTCGGGGTGTAGCAGGATTATCGGTGAGGGGGATGGGCAGTTGGCATTACTGGGTACTCTGGGCACAATGGAGTGCGGGGGAGTGACCGGATTGCTAAATTTCTCCATTGTTCCCGGACTGAGGTCTGTCTGTGTATAATAATCACTTCTGTCTTCTCTCCTAGTCAGTCTGCAGTCCTGGAGCTGATGGCTGTGAGTATCTAAATACACTCTCCCCATGTATTCAGTCTTCTCTCCCTCTGTCCCCCCCTCCCCTCTGTGTATTCAGTCTTCTCTCCCTCTGCCCCGCCTTCTCTGTGTATTAAAT